GCAGATTGTAGATTGTTATGCTTAGTGCTGATTTTGATAAATAATTGCACTTTAAACTTCTAATAAAGATTTATCTAAGACCTTACTTTCAGCATCACATAAAGTTATATTTTGCATCTTTTTGCATTTTATGCACTAGTAATTTAAACATCAAAACTTCACTTTATATACTTGTTTTAAGCAAACAAGGTGTTTTCTTTTTGAACTATAGTTCAAAGACTTTTTACATCAGTTATAATCTTGCATCTAAACAATAAGTGATGTTGTTTACAAAACACACAAGTGTCTCTATCATTATTATTCATCTTTCATCAGTATTGTTGTTAAAATGCTTTTGATTATTGTTTGAATAAACTTGTTTATTTCTTTTACTATTTATGTGCATACTCTGTAGTGTAATTGATCTTTCTTCAACTTTGATATTCGTATTTGGCTAAAAGTTCAATCTTTACTACTTTTAAAAATTCATCATAATTCCACTCATTATTTTTAAAAAGTCTTGAAATAATTATACATAGTTCATGTAGAATTCTCTCGAAAATTATGGCTATAAGAAGTGATCCATAAGTTTTCAACATTTAAATATTTCAAGTTTCTGATAAGCTTGTAAAACATTTGACGGAGTTGTCTTCTTTTAAACTGTGTACAGGATTTATACATTTTAAATCATCCATATAAGCAGCTATCAAATTTTGATAGCTTCTTATATGGATGATTTAAGATGATCAAACATTATTAAACCTGTCCTTTAAAAGTTAAAATGCTTGCTTATAAATATTCCAGCTAAGTGTAAGTCCTTCAATTACTTTTTGTGCTTTACCAGTAAATGATTACCAAATGATTTACCAGAAAATGATTTTAAATAATTGAACTTCTCCACGTCTAAAAGATCTTCAAGAAAAAGGGAGGTTTATTCAAAAAAAAAAAAAAAAAAACATGGTTTCAGCCATAATGCCTTGAACACATACCAAGAATACAATACATACAATGCTTTTAAACTAAATTAATTAGGCTTGAACTTTAAGCCAATCCAAATCAATCAATAAATGAAAATCTACTAAACAACACAATTTTTACAGAACAACACATAACAAATAAAACAAAAATTTTTCATATAACATGCAATGAAATCGTTATTATTTAGCAATGAAACAGCTTCGATTAAGAAAAAGGGAGGTTTATTCAATGTCACACACAAAAAAAGGAGGTTTATTTAATGGAGGCATTTGATAGAGCGGAAATTTGTAAACTAGTAGGAATATTTCTTTTGCATCAACTATTGCATTTTTTTAAGTAAATTTTAAATATATTATTTTTATGCTTTTTATTTCTCTGGTAAATTTTAATAGTTAATTTTAAAAAATTAATAATTCTTTATTTATTTCATCATTTGTTACGTTTGTTTCTTTTTTCAGTTTATGGTTTGTTTATTTCTAACTTTCTCTTTAAATTAGCTCGGTTTTTTTCCAAAGTTGCCGATAATTATTATTCTTGATTAACCCTTTTTTTATATTATTTTTACTTTGCAAACAGTTTTTAAAAGATCCTTATACACTTCATCAATAACAGTTTTTAAAAGATCCTTATACACTTCATCAATAACAGTTTAATTCTAGCATCCACTACTAATATAGCACACTCACTTGTACCCAGAAAAATGCACCAATTTGGTCTAAGTAATAGCAAACTTTGAGTATAGTATTTGTAGGGGAGACCGGAGCTAGTTGCAACAGGGGTAAGTTGCAATAATATGTTTTAAAGAATGGTTGTAATATCTTATTCCTAAACTTTTTTTTACATTACTAACTATAAATATAACACGCCAGCTTACAGTAAAACTTACAGTAATAGATTAAAAATTTCGTAAATTTTTGAAATTTTTAATTTATTACTGATAATTTTTGATAATTTTGTTTTTTTGATATAAAATTATAATTTTTGTTTTCAAAGTTTTTTTGGGTTTCACTGTAAACTTTATTTAAAAAAGAATTTCCTTGTAATATTTATTGCAAGGAAATTATTTTTTTGTTATAGATAACTTAGATCTAAGTTTGATTTTTATTTGTTTTTATGAAACTTTATTTAACATTTGTTTTATTTTTTAACATTTTAATTTTTTTTTAATAAATTGTCATCAATAACTTATTCCAATTTGCATTAGTTCAAATTGGAATAAGTGTAAATTGGAATAAGTCTGAATTGGCATAAGCGTATTAACATTTAATTTATTTTTTAAAATTTTAACTCTTTTTTTAATAAATTGTTATTGCGTTTTTATATTCTAAAAACAGAACTTAAATATCCTAAAACCTTCTCTTACATTTTTCTAAACAAATTTATTGTTTATTGAGTGAGAGAATACTTTTTTTCAAAAACACTTTTGAAGTTAAAATGATAAATTAGTTTAAATAATAATCTTTCTTAAATAATAAAATTTCTTCAGTCTCTGAAATCTTTGAATACAACTATCAGTTTACTAAACAAGTCAGGTGTATGTGAATTTTCTCATAACAAAAGTATTGCAGCTCAATGAAAATACTTTCCTTTAATGTAATTATAAAATTTTTGTTTCCAAATAGAAATTAGAGATTAACTTATTTCTTTGAACTCTGCGAGGCTTATACTTTCAAAGTATTGTGTTGCAACTTACCCCACTCACTGTTGCACCCCCACGTGAGGGGAAAGTTGCAAAATTTTCACTTTTGTTTCACTATTGCGGAACAAATAAGTTTTATACTATATTTATCAATGTTGGTTTAGTACCTCACTAAGATCTATTCAATAACCCTGATAAAAATTAAAAAAAAAAAAGAAAGTTATAAGAGATAAATGCAGTTTTTTAGATTTTGTTGCAACTAACCCCAGTCTCCCCAATTTCAGGATTATCTTTCTGCATAATATATATTTGAAAAATTGAACAATAATTTTTTTGTTAGAACAAAATTTTTTCTCTTGTAGCAAGCTTCTAATTTAATCAAAGTTTTCAGCCTTCTTTTTTATGCTATTTGTTTCATAACACATTTTTGAGGGATCATAGAGGTGACTTTCAATTTTTCTAGATATGTTATTTACCATTTATTTAATGCATGCAACTTTTTGCTTTCCTTCTGAGAATATATATTTTGATGATTTTAAATGAGATTTTTTGAAAAGATCAAATTTTAGAGATTTTTGTTTTCCTTTTTACTTTTAATGATGAAATTACAACTATTAAGTCATCATCATCACACTAACTTTCTGTCATATAGGATACATTTTCAAATACTTTTAGTAGGTCTTTCATATAATAATAACTTTGATAATTCAATGTTACAGTGTAAATATTTAACTGTTTTTTTCTTTATTGCCTAAAGTTCCAATAACATCTTGTTGACCTTCACACGCTTCTTATGTCATTAAGTTAATAGAAAACATCTTAATAAAATAATTTACTTGGTATGATCCATAAGAAAAAAATATTTTTTAAAAGAAATAAATAAATTTATCTTTACAACTCAATTTTTTTCTGTAATAAAAAACAGGAGGATGAATAAGCGCAAATTTCATAAGTGTGAACTGGCATAAGTGCAAAGTGTTGCAAAAACTGGCATAAGTGCTCCAAAAAAATTTGCAAACATTGGGATAAGTGCAAACTGTCGTAAGTGAGAACTGGCATAAGTGCAAAGCAGTTACAAAACCTGGCAGAAGTTACAAAACCTGTGCAAAATGGCATAAAGACGAATTGGATATAAGTGCGCCGAATAAATTTGCAAACAATGGCATAAGTGCGAATTGGCATAAGTGCCAACTGGCATAAGTGTGAACTGGTATAAGTGCAAAGCAGTTACAAAAAGTGGCATAAGTGCGAATTGGAATAAGTGTAAATTGGATTGGCATAAGTGTGCCGAATAAAATTGCAAATATTGGCATAAGTGTAAATTAAAAAAAACTATAAACCAAATTTAATACTTAATCAAAATTCTATTAAATTTTTTTTAATTATTGAAAAAAATTAAAGAAAAATCTTTGAAATTATAGTTTTATACATTTCTGTTGTTTTTCAAGTTAAATTTTTTATGAAAAGTAAGATTATAAGTAATTAAAAATATATTTTAGAAAAAGAAAAGTAATGAAAAAAACAAAATCTTTTTTGCTGTAAAAAATGACCTTCATATGAGAGCATATGAAAGACATTTGTTTAGTACTTTAATCTTTAACTAATGTATGTACTGAAGTAATTGCAAATAGTTATTTCAGAATTACATTACTAATGACACTTCATGAAAAACTAAGCATAATGCGGATTTAACTAAGTATCAAGTGTTGGTCATGATTTATTTTGAAATAGCCATCTTTTTTTGAAATAATTTGTATTGAACAAACAAACTCTCCCTATTGGATCCTTTGCTACCATAAGTTTAAGTTTTTAAACAAACATCCAATATGATTTTTGAAAGTTTTTAAATAAACATTTAATAGGATTTAGTTTTTTTTATCAAAAAAACTCCTCAAAAATTAATTTATCTTATAAATAAATTTGATGAAAAAACAAAAAAAGTCTCAAAAACCATACTGAAATAACCTGCTGCTGAGGGCTTAAGTATATACATAGACTATTTTATAGCCTACTGCTGCAAAACAGTACCGCTACATTGATTGAGGGTTTAGGCTTTTTTTAACCAAATTTTTCTAACCAAATTTTGAGGTTATAGGTCATTCCTCTACAATGATTTTAAGACAAATCTCTAATTTTAAGACTGCTATCCAAATCAGAGATTCAAGATAAATAATTTTGGCAATTTAAAGGGCATTCTACCTGATTTTGTGTTTTTAAAAACACAAAAAAAATCTTAGAAAAATTTAAAGTTAAAAAACTTAGATAGTCAATGCTTTTTTCTTGATGTTAACATTATTATGAATGCATAACTAGTATATGGAGATATTACAAAATATTTATTATGAAATAAGTATATTACAAACTATTTATAATGATATAAGTATATTAAACAAATTTGACAAACCTTTTGATGTTCAACTTTTTGTAATTTTTCACATGATGCACAATTAATATCTTTTATAACAGAAGCATCATTTTTTGCATCCTTAGTGCAGTTACTTTCATTTAAAGATTTCTTTATCTGCTGAAGTTCAGATATACTTTTAGAATGTTCTCTTCTAGCTTCACGAAGAATCTTATTTAGTTCACGCTCATGGTCCAACTTCATTTTATTAATTATTTCATCTTTTTTATTAATCAATGTTATATTTTTCTTAATTAGCTCATTACATTTTTCATTGTTAGTTTTAAGGTTTTCTATTTCCATTTCTAGATCTCTTACTCTACTATGTTTTATTTCTTCTCGCAATATTCGAATTTCGTCATTTAAATTGTGAACTTCATACATTTTTTCTTCGAGTAAAGTCTTTTTTAAAATTTTCATTTCTTCATCTTTATATTTAATAATTTGTCGAAACTCTGATTCTTTTTCTCTGTTTAGTTCATCTCTTAGCAAATCTTTTTCAACTTGACTTAACATTTTCATCATAGAAACTGTTATCGTATTTGCAGGTACATTAAGCATTGATTTATTTGATGGGGACAAGTTATTTTCATTAGTGTTTATTGTTTTTTTATCAAAAGTATCTGAAACATTGTTTTTACTTTTATAACTAATCTCAGTTCTAGTTGTAGGGAAATCTGAATAACTTTTCATAACTCTAACTGATGAACCTGGAGAAAAAATAGTTGAAAATAGTAATCTAATGAGATCAATTTTTACTTATATTTCATTAATAAAAATTTATGAAATTCTATAAGTAACTGAAGTATTTAAGATTTTGAGAAGCTAGGTTTTGGTAAGATTTATGTTGCTAAACTCATTTTAATTTTAATATTTTAAAGAATTCATAAAAAATATGCCCCAAACAAAGTAGTTTTTTTATTAATTAAGAAAATTAGCATTAAAAATACATAGAACAAACGAAAAAATTTCAGTTACTATTTCTACTTTTCTACTTTTCGAAATTTTTAAACTTTTCAAAACAATAATAATAAACAATTAAAGAATTCAAAATAATAACGCGGTATGTTTTTCGGTTCGGTACATAAAATGTACCGAGCATTGATTTCTCAATTCGGTAAATGAAATGTACCGAAAAATCAATCTTCGGTTCAACCCCGGTTCCGGTAAAATATTAGTTCCGGTCAATCACTCGTAATGGTATAATATTGGGTTGATACAGAGTGTGCTTTTTATATTTGTTAGATCCTGTCTTCTATTATTTTTTTGTCCCAATGGCTTCCGCAGGAAATACAATGACGATTGATATGGTAGGAGTTACTTTTTATTAACAACTTTTTATTAACTTTTTATTATTATTATTAACTATAAATTTTTTATTATTATAACTATTATTATTATTAACTATTAACTTTTTATTATTATAACTATTAACTTTTTATTAACTTTTTCTTAACAAACGTTAAGAACAAGGCGTTTAGAAATTCAATAAAAAAATGTGTGTTGCTTCGTCCTGAGGCATTGCAGATAGTTCAGTCATCTTATAACTTGTTGTTCTTTTAATAATTGTTTCGTTTTCTTTACTATTGGAAAGAGGCTTTAATCTATCTCTAAGCACACTGAGCACTGATTTATTAATATCAAAAGAGGCTTGTTTAACGGCATTTTTGATGCTATCTAATTCTTTAGGCAATATTTCTTTTGTTGAACGTCTATTCATAGAGTTTTTTGAATTTATTTTATTAGTTTTATTGAGTGAAACTTGTGAATCGGTAGACTTTCCAGAAAAAGAATTCTCAATTTTGTCATTTGTTACATCTTGAAAAATAGTACCGATTGCAGTTTTATTTGAAGTTGTTTTTTTAACAATTAAATGGAAATATGGCTGTATTTTCAAAACCACTATATGTATTTTCCGCCTTAATGCCTTTATTTGCAATAAGGTCTTTTAGCATGGCTGGTACTGCCGGTTACTTAAACTTAAATAAGGATTTCTAACCAAGTAAACTTCTACAATTCGTTTCTATGCTGCCTTTACTGTTTTAAAAACTCCAACATCTAGTGGTTGCAAAAAATGACTTACGTGAGCTGGCAATCGAAATAAAATTATGTTGTTTGATTCAGATAACTTTTTTAATTCAAAATTAATGTGAGATGCATGGCCGTCTAAAAATAGAATTTTAAATCCATGAAGTTTGTTTCCTTGAACAAAAAAATTTAACGAAACTATTCTCTGAAATTTTCGCTTTCTAAACAACCTGATTTGTTTGTAGAATAAACACAGAAGCACCACCTTGAACTCAAATTTTCATCAAGTTTTCAAAAGCATTGCAACTGGTTAAAATTGTAGTCATATGTTTTTTATTTGATGGGGCAAGTTGTTTTGGATTTTTTATTCCTTTTTGACAAACAATGTTGACTTTACCTTGATCGACTTTCAATCCACTTTCATCACAGTCAGTGCCAGATCAAGGGGGGAGGGGAGGGCTAGGGGCGACTATAGCCCCAGGCCCCGCAAATTTAGAGGCCCCAAAAAATTTTAAAGGACCTTTTTTTTTTTAGTCATTTTCAGGCTCTGGCCCATACAAAGGCCTTTAAAAACAAAAATAACTCCGGGCCCCAAGAAGTCTTAATCCGCCACTGATCACAGTTGAACACATAAAATGGCTTTTCATTTATATTATGCTCTCGATAAACAGCGTCAACTTAGTTGAACCATTTAATAATTGCTGGTGCGAAGACACCACTCTTACAGCTTACATGGAAGTAGCTTTTCTTTCATAGATATTTTTCGCATATTTTTTCATGAAACTACTTTACCACTTTCGAGTAAGTTTATCGGTCTTGAATAAATGAGTTTGTTTATATTCCTTCAAATAGTTTTAGACCACAGTTAAAATATCATTTCTTTTTAAGTTGAAGCCAATGTCACTCATAAACTGTACAAGTTCAACTATAAGCCTCTCCGTTATTTGGTTTATTAATCTGGGCCTACCAAATACAGCAGCTCCATTTATTCCTTTTGATCTGCAAAAAATAGTTGTTTTAAAAATGTTATAAAATAAAGCGGTTTCTGAATATGACATCTTATTATTATTGATAGCTAGGGTTGCCCCTAAAACTCAGTTTAATGGTTCTGAGGCCGGCTGGTAGTAAGGTCTCCTCTGTGGTAGAACTCTGTGGTAGCTCTCAGAGAGGCTGATTCCATCAACAGCTGCAAAATATCAGAGTATTAACAGTGCCATGTTGCGCATGGATGGTGTCCCTGTTAATGCTTTTGGTGTGTATTGTCAAGGCCACATAAGGAGCCCTATGTCACGGCTTAGGGTTAATTAACAGGACAGAGACAACTGCATAGCTCATTGATAGGAGGCTGTGCTCTATCTATGAATGAGTCAAGTTCTCATTAAACCCAAATCATGACCAAAGTAATCAAAAATTTAAAACCTAAAAAACCATCCCCACCACCTAAATATTTTAATATATCTTTTATAAATATTCGCGGTCTACGAAGCAACTTTCCATCAGTTGAGTCTTACCTCCTGCAAAATTCACCAGACTTGCTTGCACTCAGTGAAACAAATTTAAAATCTGCAATTCCTTCTTCAGATGTCAGTGTTGATGGGTACTATCCTTTGATTCGTAAAGACTCCAATTGTCACATGCTAGGTTTAGGGGTATACATACGCATTAATTCCCCTATTTGTCGATCAATCAGGTCAGAATCCTTTGACCATTCTTTTATGTGCTTTCGCCTAGCACCTCTTCACTCTATCACCTTTCTCTTTGTTCTTTATCGTTCTCCTTCTTCCCATGATTGCACTCTTTTAGATGTTATCTCTGATCAAATTGACCATGCCCTCTCACTTTACCCCTCTGCCAATATTGTTGTTGTTGGTGATTTTAATGCCCATCACACTGAATGTCTTGGCTCTAACACCACTGATCCTGCTGGCACTAAAGCCTTTAACTTCTGCGTTTCTCAATCTCTTACTCAGATAGTTAACTTTGTGACTCGTTTTCCTGACAACCCTAATCATTTAACTTCACTCCTTGACTTATGTCTTGTCTCTGACCCTAGCTTATGTTCAGTTTCTCCCTTTTCTCCCTTAGGTGGTTCTTACCATGCAATGATCTCTATAAATCTTTCTTCTCGTACTTCTTTTTTGGGCTCACCTTATCATCGCACCACCTACTACTACCCTAAAGCTGACTGGGATTCCTTTCGTGATTTTCTTCGTGATGGTCCTTGGGCTGATGTTTTTTCTCTCTCAGCTGACAAATGCGCCTCCTACGTAACCTCCTGGATTCAGGCTGGAATGGAAGCTTTTATTCCTTCGCGTCGGTTTCAAGTCAAGCCTCATTCTACTCCATGGTTTTCTCCTTCTTGTGTGGCTGCTATATCCAATCGTAATCATTTTTTTCATCTTTTTCAAATGAACAACTCTCTTAAGAACAAACGGCTATTTATTATTGCAAGAAATTGATGTAAAAAGGTGCTTTCTGATGCTAAACTCCATTATTCTCAGTTTACTAAATCTCGCATCTTATCGCAGAAGTTAGGCTCTAAAGACTTTTGGAAAATCTTCAACAGCATTATTAACAAGGGTAGATCTAACATTCCATCTCTCATTCATGGGACTGATCTTATTACCTCTCCCAAGGATAAGGCAGAACTATTTGCAAAGAACTTTTCTTCTAATTCCACTCTTGAATCTTATGGACATTCTCTTCCTTCCATTCCAGTCAAACAGGTTGACCCATTGTTAGACATTCAAATCACTCCGGCTTCTGTTGCTAAAGTCATATCTCAATTAAACTCGTCTACAGCTTGTGGTCCAGACAACATTCCTGTCACAGTCTTGCAGAATTGTTCTCCAGAACTTTCTTCAATTCTCTTTAAACTATTTAACAAGTGTTTGACTGAGTCTTGTTTTCCTGCTTGTTGGAAAATGGCATCTGTGGTTCCAATATTCAAAAACTCTGGAGAAAATTCTGACCCCTCCAATTATCGTCCGATCAGTCTTCTTTCTGTTATTAGAAAGGTCTTTGAGTCTTTGATCAACAAATTCCTCACATCTCATCTTGAGTCAAATAAACTACTGTCAGACAATCAATACGGTTTTAGATCCTCTCGCTCTACGGCCGACTTGCTAACTGCTGTAACTGAAAGAATTTATCGTGCATTAGATGGAGGCGGTGAGGCTAGGGCTATTGCTCTCGACATATCTAAAGCTTTCAACAAAGTTTGGCATGCTGGTCTTCTCCATAAGCTTGCTTCGTATGGTGTTTCTGGGAAAGTTTTTGAGATTATCAAATCATTTCTTTCTAACCGGTTTATTAAAGTCATTCTTGAAGGCCAACACTCTTCTTTCTGGGGTTCCCCAAGGTTCCATCCTGGGCCCTGTTTTATTTCTTATCTACATAAACGATCTTCCTGACAACCTTTCATCTAAAGTAGCTCTTTTTGCTGATGACTCAACTTTATACTCCTGTCTTGACAAAAAGTCTTCTCTTTTCGATCGCCTAGAACAAGCAGCTGATCTTGAATCCGATCTCACTTCAGTAATAGATTGGGGTTCACAGTGGCTTGTGAATTTCAACTCTAAAAAAACCCAGTTGCTTACTGCAAACAACTACCGTATTATGGTCAACATTCCTATATTAATGAATGGCAATCCTCTTACTGAGTCCTCCTCTTTACGTCTTCTTGGATTATCGCTTACTACTGACCTTTCATGAAAACCATATATACAATTGATTGCTAAATTAGCTTCTGCTAAGGTTGCTTCTCTTTATCGTGCTCACCATTTCCTTATTTCTTATTCCATTCTCTACCTCTACAAATCTCTTATTCGTCCCTGTATGGAATATTGTTGTCATATTTGGGCTGGTTCTTCTAACGATTCACTTTCTCTTCTTGACAAGGTCCAAAAACGCATTGTAAATGTTGTTGGACCTGGACTATCTGCTAAGCTTGAACCTCTTTCCCATCGTCGTAAAGTTGCATCTCTTTCTCTTTTCTACAGATACTATCATGGTCACTGCTCAAAGGAGTTATCATCTCTAGTTCCATCAACTAAAGTTCATTCTCGTTTTACTCGTCATTCAGCTAAGTCTCATTCGTTTACTGTATCTGTCCCTGCATGCTCTAAAAACTTTTATTCATCTAGTTTTTTTCCCCGCACTTCAATCCTTTGGAAATCTCTCTCATCTTCATGTTTTCCTGACTCATACAACCTTCAACTTTTCAAGTCTTCTGTCAACCGTTTCCTTGCTCTATAACTCTGTTCTTTTTTTTTTTTTCCTAGTAACTCCCAACTTGATAGTGGTTGCTTGTAGCCTTGTTGGGAGTGAATGCAAATAAAAAAAAAAAAAAAAAAAACTGTTATAATTATTAATGATAAATAATTATATATCATTTAATCTTAGTATTTTTTCACTGTTACCAATATTAGAATCTTAGTGCCTTTCTACAACTTTTTTTCTACAAAGTGCCTTTCTACAACTTTTTTTTTTTAATAAATCTTCTATTAATAAAAGTATTTTTTCTTTTATAGATGCGTTTCTTTTTTCTAACTCTACTAACTCTTTTTTAGAAATAAAGTACTCTCTTTCAGCCTGTAGCTTTAGCGCTTCTCTTCCCTAAATTTAAATTTCTCCTCAGTTAAGTAACTCTCCACATCAACAGTTGGCAGGTGGAGAGCTGGAGTGAGTTTTTTTTTTTCCAGACAAATTTTGGTCGTTTTTTAATATATCATCATCTTGCACAGTGGATCGTTTAGTTTGTCCTGAGTTGTCTTTATTCCCATTTTCTGATATAATTACAGCGATTAGCATTGTACAACTTGCACAACTGGATTAACAGTATTCTGTATATCGCAAACAAAATCGATGCTATTGGTTTCCACCCCTTCCAAACCAAAAAATATTAGAGAATTTTCTCCGTATATATCCAATATTTTCTGGCTGATTTCTGTTAAAATTATTGCTGGTCCTCCCTCCGTCGGAATTTTTTTTGTTGATGAAATCTCTTTATTGGCATTTTTAAGAAGATTATTCCATAAACCTTTCACACTGGTAACTGTTCTTTTATCAAATCCTAAGCTATTTACAGCATCGGTGATCTAAAATACACATAAGTACCAAAATTTATAATGCTGCCTAAACTAATTTTTTTTATTCAATATATATAATATAAAGGATTACCTTATTCCATATACGATTTCTTCGTTTATTTATCTCCGCTTTTTCATCTTTAGACAAAAGAACATCTTTATGTTCTTCAAACTTTGAAATTACCATTTATAATTAATAGATTTTACCATTTTAATTACCTTACCATTTCTCTTATGAAACATACACTTTTCCTCTGGCTGCACGTTTTTTCTCAACTTTCATAGTTGATACTGCCATTGTTTTAAAAAAAAATTCTAACTTATAATCTGTATATAATATACTAATAACTTATAAATAGGATACTAATAACTGTATGATTAAAATAAATATTTTTAAACAGTATGTAATAAATTTGTAATGTCATTAAAATAAAGTATTAAGTGTCTTATGCTTTAGTCTAGACTTATTTTTAATGAGTAGTGAAACATTTTAAAGATTGCCTAGGGTAACAAGTGTTAATTAATATGATGGTATTTGTGAAACATTGCCAGGAAATTATTTTTTGTAACGAGTCCGTGTCGCTGTTATTGTTTGTCGCAATAACACGTATATGGTCTAATAAAAATAAAACTGAAAGTAGTAAGAATAGAAAATATTCAATGACAATGCCTCGACTCGTTCGTATGCATTCAGTTTTTGCAGAAGTAAGACGTCAAGAAATAGCAGTCCGGCGAGGTCTTAAACGTGAAAGGTTATTTAGAGACCGAACCAACCCACTTGATATTAATGATGATGTTGACTTATATCAAAGGTTAAGGTTTCGTCGAGCTTCTATTTTCTATTTGGAAAATTTGCTGAAAACAGATTTACAACCAAAGTTTTTGTGTTCCGCCAATCTATCAAGTATTATGCGCACTTTGATTTTATGCAACAGGATCTTTTCAGATTGTGATTGGTGATTCTACAGCAGCTTTAAGTCAACCAACTATTTCTAGAATTATTTGCCGAGTTTCTTTGAGTCTTGCAAAAAGAGTTAATGAATACATTAAGTACCCAACTGATCCACACGTTTTAAATGAGAGCAAATTTTTATAATGTGACACTATTTCCAAGAATAACTGGATTAATAGACGGCACGCACGTTTGCATACAAAAACCACGCGAGCACGAATATGTTTATGTCAGTAGATCATCAAATCATTCAATCAATGTCCAAGCGATGTGTAATTATAACGGAAAGTTCATTTTTCAGCTCAGCGTCGATATAATATATCTTTAAGAAGAACAAGAGTTTTAGTAGAACAAGTGTTTGGAAGGTGGAAAAGATGGTTTCATTTGCTTCATGGAGAGGTTCGAATGACCCCAGAAAGATTCTGCACCATAATTGCTGCGTGTGCTGTATAGCAAAATTTAGCAATAGAGTTAAATGATGTGGACATAGATGACAATCCAATTGAAAAATGGATTGTCATCTATGTCATCTAATGAAAATAATAATAGACATAGTTGCTGAAAATAACTTTTGATTTCGTGATAATTTTGTTTTGCGACATTTCGGACAATAAGTTGTTTCAATATTTTCTGTCATAAATTATAAAAGTTTTTTTATATTGTAACGTGTTTTAATTAAATTTTTAAAATTTACGCTGCAAAAAAATCAACGGCTGCGATTTCCCAATTAAACAGCTTTATTGTCTGTTGGCATCGCAACGCTTAAATGCCATGAAAAAAACAACACGAAAACTAGTTAACAGAGCTCGCTAACGGAGAAACTTTAACTGAAAAAATTATTGGAGTAGTTAATAAACGAAGTCTAAACGGAATGATTAGAAAACCATTAACTTTCCTCCGTTTTATAACCGGCCGTTAAAACTTTTTTCTTGACGGACACTCAAATTCTCCGTTAGTTTAACGGAGAGTTGTGAATACGGCGGTAGGGTTTTAAAAAGTGTTTTGCTTGCAATTAAAAAAATTTGATGGTATCAATAAATATTTTGAAAATATTTTTTCATATTCTCATTAACCTAGTCTTCCAATTTATTAATCAGTTTTCCTTTTAAAAATCCCACAAAAATAAGTTAACTAGAGCTGTTCGGAATTAGGCATTGTTCGGAATTAAGGAAATCTACGGTACTTTTTAAACTACAGAATTTAAACATTTTGTTTGCTTTTTTTTCCCCATTTAAGAATAAGACTTCTAAATGGTCTTTTATAATAAAAAAAACAAATTCATTCTTTTGATAATTTCAAATTGTTTATAGTTAAATAAACAATGTATTTTCATTGACAAATCAAAAATATTTAAGATTATTGTGTATTTTCAAATATTCATTATTTTCTTTCAAGATTATTAAGTAAAAAAAAATGATCTTGAATAAATCTTGAATAATTAAAAACTTTGTTATACAGAAGTGAAATTTAATTCCTCAGTTAAGAATAAAAGTTTAAATTTTGTTCTGGACATGTTCAGTGACGGATCCAGGATTTTTTGGTGTTTGAGATGACCTCAAAGCAACAAAATTTTATGTTTTGAACGAATTTATTTAATTTCTATTGACATATATATATATAAAGTTAAAGAGCAAATTTTTTTTTTGTTAATTTATTCTTTTGAAAGCATTTTTTGAATTTAGTTCTTGCGATGCCAAAATGACGTAACAAACTTCAAGGTAACCGAAATAAAAATGATTTAGGCGTAGTTGCTCAATTCGTAAATAGAGATAAACTTCGCTATAAATAAACTAAGCTAAAATAATTGAGAAAAAGTTCTTCTATAATTCGTATATTATCAAAGGTTGTGTTGAGAACAACCTTAAAATTTAGTCTGTTTCACCAGTATCAATTAAAAGGTTTCCTTGTTTATCTTTTACCCTCAATCTTCCGTTAGAGTACTTTGTCTCTTGTCTTCCATCCTCATATATAGTTTTCACAGTTCCGTTTGGATACTCACGCTTCTAAAAAAGATATTAATGTTTAGAATAATATATATCTTCAATAAAATTTTTAAATAATATTTTACTAATATATTTAAATATATATATATAAAAAAACTAAATTTACAAAACTCTTATATGGTAAAGGTAAAGCAAGCAATTTTGACATCGAGCCTCCCAATCGAGCAAGCCTCCTAATCGTGCAATCAAATGAAAAGAATGGAGTCGACTTATTTTTATAAGTTTATTCTTTCGGAAACATACTCAAAATAAAACATAGAATAAATGATAAAGATAATAATAATAAAATTTGTTTATTGAAACAGCAGCTTCAATACCTCTAGTGCAAGTTCTTAGTTAGAACGCGATGTAGTCAACTTTATATAGTTTTTATTAAGTAAATTAGAAAAGAATAAATTAAAATATATTAGCAAGCATGACAAATTGAAAAAGATTTGTTTTGATAAATATTATTGGACGAGTATTTTTGGCACTTTAAATGACAACTCCGTGCATAAATTAAATTTGCAGAAAAGCAATAAATTTTTTAAATTGTTCCTGATTATGTACTGTTTTCTTTTCAAAAAAAACATAATTTCATTCTTTTACAGATTACGGAGATATAGCTAATTCGTTTAAACAAGATAACGTGATAAGTGAGTTTAATTCTAACGTTCTCAGTTTTCCAAAATGTTTTCAATCATCAATTAAACGCTCTACTTCACTAAAGATAATTATCACTTTATCACTATCATTCCGCAAAATTCCATTAAACGATTACAGCATGGAGTGTTCTGACAAGTTTCTTTGAGTCATTCTGAGCATGACCATAGATTTTTCCTTTTTATGGCTTTTCACATAAAATGATTTTTTTAACATATACCACATTCACCATTATAAATTTTTTTTAAAACAATTTTCCTTTAACATATACCACATTTGTCATTATAATTTATGAACGTTGGTAGGAGAAAGTCATTTGTTAAATGCTTATAATAATATTAGCGATTTACAAAAATTTACTCGAACAATCAAACAATAATATCTGGTGGGTGCAAAGACTATTCAAGAATGGTAGTTTTTGTTGCAAATAATTCTGTAGAACTTCTACAATTCTACTAGAATATCTTACTTAACCTTTCTAAGAACCCTTTTTAACGTTATAGAAAGTCTGGTGATAACTCTTTTTTATCCATCAAAAATAATTAGCCTTCCGAGGATCAAACAAATTATCACTTCATTTTTTAATTATTTGTTATTTTAGGTGCCCCAAGAAGTCCAACGGTCTTGTTACAGAGCACCGCGGAAGTGCATTTAACCAGAAAGTTCACGCCTTCTTCTTTACCGTGACACGAAATATGTCCAAATGTTTTTTGTATCTCTGCTGAGAATTGCGCTTTATAACCTTCTGGATTTTGGCAGACACAGAAGTTTTTATTTCTTATTGGTTCCAAGCATCATTCTACCTTCTCTTTTTTTGAAGAAGTCAATTAGTCATTCAAAAATAAATTGTCTGGCACTAAGGTCTATTATTCTCAGAGATTCGGAATATTTTAAACAGTGTCTTCTTTGATTACCTCTCTAAATTACTTATGCGCCATTTTATAGAAACTGATTGTCATGTTTGAGCTGATTTTTTTTAATGTCTTTTCTCTTTTAGACAAGGCCCAAAAATGCCTCATAATCATAGTTGGGGCTGCACTAGCTACCAAGCATAAGCCTCTGTCCCATTTTTGTAAGGTTGCATCTCTTTCTTTTCTACAAATACTACTACAGTCACTACTACAAGCTTTTATCTCTTGTTTCATTAATTAAATTTGGCGTGACTTCCTTTACTGTTTTTTTCTTTCCACATCACTTCATTGGAATTCTCTCTAGCCTTCGTGTTATCCATATATATATTTATATATATATATATATATATATATATATATATATATATATATATATATATATATATATAAATATATATATAAATATATATATTTATATATATTATATACATACAAAGTCTGATATTAAAATATGGTTTTGGTAAAAAAAGTCTGATATTAAAATAATTGATATCAACAACTAGAACTAGCATCTTTAGTTAGAAAACTCCTTCTTCCATTTTTAAATTCATGCTTCATGGCCCATGAAGCAATTAATTAGTTTTGAACTCATGGGTAAATTTATGGTTAAATTCACGTAATTAGTTTTAAATTTCATGAGCCATAAAGTAGTTTTAAATTTTTACTTCATGGGCTCATATCAAAAATAGTTACTTAATTTTTTACAATTAATTGATAAATTTATGGTTCATGACTGACGATTATGAATTGAAAGAAAACTTGAAATTTATCACTTATGTTGTAAAATATTTAAATATAATATTTAGATTAAATATTTAGATATCATATTTGTAAAAGACTTTAATAAGTAAAACTTTTTTTTGTCAACATTTTATTTAAACAAAAGTCCTGAAAACAAACAACAGATAAGTTTAAACTTAGTTTTATTATTATGTACACCTCTGGCTTTATATTCTTCACAGCTTTTTAGTTCTTATATCTCATCTCTGTAGTTATGCACTAATTTTCTATTGAAGCGTAAAGTTATACCTATAGATTTTCACTTACAAAACATTTACTCAAATACCTTATAGTTCATAGTGTGAGTCTCTCTCTGCCCATTAGGGAATACTATAACTGTTTGACCATTAATTTCTGTCCTTTGAACTGTACCATCTGCAAATAGAGTTTCCTCGCATCCATTTGACATTATCTTTTTTACTGTTTGATCAGGAAATGTGATCTCAATTTGACCATCTGGAAAACGTTTTTCAACTTGATTGCTAAAAACTTATAACTTTTATAAAAGTCAAATACAAAAACATAAAAATAAAAAAAACTAAAACTCACTTGGATAATTAAATGAATAAACATGAAAAAACTAAAACTTATTTATACAACATAAAACTAAAACTCACTTGGGAAACTCAAGAACCTCTAAACCATTAGCAAATGTTGTATGAGTCGTTTGTGATTCAGCATAATAATATACCTTAACATAATAATATTAAAATAAAAACATAACAATATATAACATTTTAATATTCCTGAGGAAAAAAATTATACACATGGTTTTGTTTTTTAGTTTAAAATACTTTAAGCAGTGTTTTTTGTTTTTTTTTTGATATGTAAAAATGAAAAATGAACAAACCATCCGATTATCTGGAAGAACTCTTTTCACATCTCCATTAAAAAACTTTATTGAAATTGTCTTTTCATCAGCACTTACAACTTTTTCTGTACCATTAGCAAACTTAATTATACGACTGCCATCAGCCATAACACTTTCAATCTTGAAGTAAAAGTACAAAATAGTTAATATTGCTCTCAAAAGATTTTTACGAGTGCTAAATTATAACAAAATAAACCAAGCTAACCTTTCCATCAGTATGTTTAATTTGCTTTCCTCTAATAACCTGGTGGTTACTTACTAATAGTGGAGTCATTGCACTGTAATTAAAAAAAAAAAAAACATCTGTATGTATACTTTTTAAACAATGAAAAATAAATTTCTCTAATTTACTTAAGAAGGAATTTATATTAACAAAACAAGAAAGTTACATTGTCTGATCATTTTTTGCACAAACACTTTCTCTTTCTTTGATGGGATCTTCTATTTCCTTTATAAAATAATAAAAGTCATTAATCTAAACTACTTGTTTAAATTACTTAGTAGAACATAAATTTAATGCTTCATAAAAGAACTCTTAAAAAAATAAGACAGCACTTTATTAACAAAAAATCAATACTATTAATTTTTATTAAAAATCAATACTATTAACTTTTATATATACAAAAACTATTTACAAAGATATTTTTTAAAGTTGGAAAATGATCAATGAAAAAATAATTACTAATGATTAGAATACAATAAAAAACAATAGGTTGTTAATTACAAAAAGTAAACCTACAAATCAAAAAAAAATTAAATAAAGGTAATCAAACGGTCATCAGAAAGTAAATAAAAAATAAAAAATAAAAATACATACATATTTAGGATTTTTAACTACATGTTTTTCCATAAAACATTGTTGCTCTGTGTCTAAAAATATATAAGGAATTAAATTTCTATAAAGTTTTATTTATAATATTTTTAAACATACATGATCTGAGTTCAGAGTCTTGGTTCAGTATGCTTTCTAACTATTTAATTAAAAATTGCACGTTGCACAAGATTTTAACATAATGCATAAAAAATTTTTTTAAAGATAGAACTTTAATGCCAAATACTGAAATAGGAAAAGAAAAAAAAAAAGGTAAAAAGTGAAAGTGAAAGTGTTGCCATTCATCAATACAGAATAATGTCAACAATACTGTGATAGTTGTTTGCAGTAATAAACTGAATTTTTTAGGAGTTAAAATTGAAAAGCCGCTACAAGCCCAAAGCTGTGACAGAAGAAAGATCAGATTCAAGATTGGCTGCCTGTTTAAGCCATCAAAGAGAGAAGACTTTTTGTCAAGTCAAGAAAATGTGAAGTATAGTTGTCAGCAAATAGAACCACTTTAGATTCTTTAGTAAGGTTGTAAAGAAGATCATTAATGGAGATAAGAAACAATACAGGACCAAAGAAAGAACCTTGTTATATCCCAGAAGTTACTGGAAATAAAGAGTGTTGGCCTTTGAGTATGACTTGAATACTGTGGTTAGAATGAAATGATTTAATAATCTCAAAAACTTTCCTAGATACACCATATGAAGCAAGCTTTTGGAGAACAGCATGCCAAAATTTATAGAAATTATGTGTTATGTAAAAAGCAACAGCCCTTCCCATACTGCTGCCACCTAATACACGATAGAACCACTCTGTTCTATTGTGCATTAGATGAAGCAAGAAGATCAAAACAAGTATTGATTGAGAGAGTAATTGACTCAAAACAAGATATTAGAAATTTGAGTAATAATTATGATAAAATATATTTATATAAAAATAAAAGCGCATAATGTTCAAACAAAAGCTTTAGATGTTATAGTTTGTTTTGCTTCAGGTTTTTATAATAATAAAAGAAACATTTTTTTTTAAATATAATTTTCAAAAATTTTTTATTATCCCTAATAGTGAATTTAAAGAACATCATTTATGAGTCTTAAACTTGATTTTAGTTTTTTGAAATTTTTTTCAGTATTTGTTGGATTTTGTTGGCTCCAAAACCTTGCTAATAATAGAGAAGAATCAATAGCTTGAGGGGTTAGATTGTTCTTCAGAGTTTTTAAAAACTGAAACCACAGATGCCATTTTCCAGCAGGCAGGAAAACAAGATTCAGTCAAGCACTTATTAAATAATTTAGAGAAGAGATTTCCAGAGAAATTTTATAAACCATGACAGGAATGTTGTCTGGAGTACAAACTGTGAAGAGTTTAATTGAGAAATGACTTAAGCAATGAAAGCCAGAGTGATTTGGATGTCTAACATTGAGTTTGACATCCAAATCACTCTAGCTTTCGTTGCCTTATCTTTGGGAGAGGTAATAAGATCAGCTCCATGAGATAGAGCTGGAATGTTAGACTTACCTATGTTAATAACGCTGTTGAAGATTTTCCAATTTCTCTAAAGCCTGAGATAAGGTACAAAATCTATTAAACTGGGATTAATGGAGTTTAGCATCAGACAGCACATTTTTATCTTGATTTCTTGCAATAATAAAAAGAGATTTGCTCTAAGAGATTCTGTAATAATAAAAAGAGACATTCTTGTGAAAAAGCAACAAAGAAAAATGTTATGGAGTAAAGAGGTACTAAACGAGGCAACAAAAAATGGTATTAAACCGAAGCACATAAGATAATAGTTAGAGGGTTCTGATTTCATATGCAATCATCACCTCCCACCTCCCTTACCCTCCCCTCATATAGTAAAAAATTTTCTACCAAATTTGTTAAACTCTTTTTAGATTTAATAGACAAGCACTTCACAGTTGGCCATAAATACCATAAGATTTTAAATAAAAATACTCTAAAGGTGAGTTACAGTTGTATGCCAAATATCAAATCAATTGTTAATTTTTATAATCATTAGGTAATGAAAAACAATACTCTAGACACAATAAACATTGCAATTGTATTATTAAAAGCAAATGTCCTTTAAATCAACAGTGTCTTGTAAATAACATGGTGTATCAATAACAGAATTTATGAATAATGAGTGAGCCCAGGTTGAGCATGTGACTAGTGGAGTCCTTGCGAATCAAAGGATAATAAACTGGCTTAGAAAACATAAAGTAGAATTCGTTGAAAAACATTGCAATCCACCAAACTGTCCCCAATTACATCCTATCAAAAGATATTGGGTTATTGTCAAAGAAAAATTAAGGTTCAATGTAAAAGAAGTTAAAAACATCTGATGTATAAAAGTAGACTTCAAAAATAATTGGATTAGAGCTACCATGAAAGTCCAACCAAAGGACCATGCAAAAAGCTTATGTTGAGTGTAAAACGCAAAGTGCTTGCATTCTCATGTACACAACTTACTTAACAAACATAATTAAGTGAAATTTAAACATTTTAATATATGTACTTTCAAAATATATATAACATTTAATTCTTTAAAATATCAGAACAGGTTTTTTCTGGTACATGTTTTAAGTTCTTTTAAAAAATAAAAAGCCTAAAAAGATTAACTAACTTTGCAGCAGGGGAACTTGAAACCCCTTTAGAATTTATTCTTAAAATATTATTGAACATTAAAATAAGAGCTGTCAGTCAGATAACACATGGTGATTGACTCATTTAACAGTTGTTGAACAAGCATATAATATTTTAAAATTTAATTCACATTTTTATCATATATTTTCCATTAAAAAAAAACATTATCTCTGTAAAAAGATCGCTTGCATGTTGCAACATGAGGACACTAGCAAGTGATTGTGTTGGCTAATAGTTTTTAAAATAGTTTCTTAATAACAACAATTGTGTTCAATTGTTGAAAAATTGTTACAAAATATGTTACACAACTTGATTTATATTATTTGTTATACATTTCTTTTTGTATTTCTATTTAATAAATTTTTTAATTTTAATTGTCTACTACTTAAAGTGAAAAACTAATGTTACTTGTACATAATATATCACTTATAAAATAAAACTCACCAATGATAGAATTAGGTGCAAATGTTACAACTTTTTCTTTTTTTTCATTCTAAAAATTGCCAAAACTAATTATTTTATCAAAACTATTTCAAAGCAAACTTTTTAAGCAAAATATATAACATTAAATAAAAAAGTTTAAGAGCAAAAATAAGTAACATCAAAAACGATTTCATAATTCAGTAACTAAATATGAACTAAACTAAAGAAAAAACAATTTAAAATCATATTATTTTATAATAAAAATTTAATTTTTAACTTTTTTAATTCTTTGTAGTCGCTCTTGTTCTAACATAATAATCTGTTTTTGCAAAGATGTATTTTCTTCTTCAAGCTGTGATATTTTTGATCGGAAACGAATTGCTGCAGCATTCCACCGTTCCTCTTTGAATTTTATTTCTTCTTTTAAGCAAGAAATCTAAAAATTGAAACTGAAGCAAAATAAAAAATTTTTGTCAAGGAAAACATTTAAAGTACTTTAGATCAAGATCAAAAAAATAAAAAAAATTAAATTATTTTTTCTTTATAAAATAGATTTAAATACAAGACAAAAAGTAATAATTGAAATTTGATTAATAGTAATAATTGATATTTAATTAATTATTAATAATAATTGACAACTGTTTACTTGCTCATTCAGTTCTTTAATTTCTTCTCGTTCTACTTTATTTGGAACTTCCTTATTTATTTTTTGATAGTTTTCAAATGCTTTTCGTTCAGCTTTTAGTTTTTTTATTTCACCTATCTTATACTGCTCAAATCGATTCGTCTCTTCAAGTTTTTCTTTTTCAAAATCATTTAATTGTTTTCGAAGAGTACTCAAATCTGTTTCACGCTCTTGACGCAGTTTACTCAACTTTTCATTTTCCACACGAAATTTAGTGATTTCTTTTTCAAGTGTTTCTAGCTTGAGTTTAACTACATCTGAGATATTTTGGAAATGCGGCTGAATTTCATCAGAGGTTTTCTGCTTTAAAATATGTATATATAGGTATATATATATATATATATATATATATATATATATATATATATATATATATATATATATATATATATATATATATATATATAGGTATATATATATATATATATATATATATATATATATATATATATATATATATATATATATATATATATATATATATATATATACATATATATCAAGCCTTCCTGGGAAAAGCGTGCGGTGGACATACAATGTGCGACACACATTGTATGTCCACCATTAAAGTATTTTTTTTTAGACAACTTGACCACGTTTTTATATAGTAAGCATTTTAAGAATTTGCGGCAAAATAAAGCAAAGAAACTAGATCACTAGAAAGAAACTAGAGAATAAATCAGCAATACTCGAAGAAAAGAACCGACTATACAAAACAGAAAATTTTAATTAAATAAGTTGAAAAAAATTTATTAATAAAAAAAAGAAAACTATTGTCAAAAAAATTATATACCTAAATATTTACTGTTTTTTTCTTATTTTTAGAGCGTTTTTTATTTTCCACTACCATAATTGATACAAGTCGAGGAAAAAAGTAGATAAGAATATATCGTAAACAAAAATATTTTTTGATATACAATTTTTTTGCAACTTTTTTCAGTCAGTATATTAAGGAAATACTTTATAAATTGCGCTAAAAACACGGACAATTTTTAAATTTGTTTTTCAAATGTCTTTGCTAGACTTGACTGTTTTTATCAATGCACAGGAAAGCGAGAATACTAATTGCTATTTATTTATGAAAAAAAGATTTTTTAACATTTATTTATTTTTAAACAGTTTTTTATGCAAAAAAAATGAAACAATGCTGCAAAATTTTGTGGGCTAGTGCATTGTTAATTTACTGAACTTTCTTAACAAACTTTTTAGGAGTCTATTTAAAAAATTTTGTTCAAGTTATTAAATGCATTTTTTTAAACAGAGCAATCGTTATGTTCATTATCTCTAGTAACTCGTATTTACATTGGAAATTAGGCAATATAATAGAAACAACTTCATACATGTAATGCGGTAAATACATTTATTAAAGAAACTATGTTATTCTTTTATTTAACTTATTCCATCATTAACAAAATTTATTAATCAAACAAAATTTTTTACAAATAAGTAACAATCTATTTTCTTATTTTCCTATTATATAAGTACTGAGAAAAAACATTAAATATAGCAAAAACTTTTTTAAAAGCGAAACGATGTAAAAATGAATAAACGAAATAAAAAAATAAACACAAGAAAAAAAAATTAACAAAATTTCTTATAGTTCTAGCGTACATAGCAAATTAGTTTCTTTATTATATGGACTGAAAAAAAATCGTGAATAAATTGAATATCAAAACTTTCAATTGTTGTTAAACCATTATAAAAGATAATCTTTTTTTCAACAACAACTCTAAAAAAAAAGAATACAAAAGTTGTATAACATTTTTATAAAAAAAAAAATTTTTATTTTTATTTTTTTAATTAATAAATTTTCTAGTTTATTTGATTAAACTTGATATTTTGTTACAATTTTGTTTTCATTATTTAAGAATTGCTTTTTTTTTCTAAGTAATTAAGTTTAGCTTTTTGCTGCGAATTATTGAAATATGTAGGCATGGACGTACAAGGTGTGCACGCCTTTCCCAGGAAGGCTTGATATATATATATATATATATATATATATATAAATATATATAAATATATATATATATATATAAATATATATACATATATATATATATATATATATATATATATATATATATATATATATATATATATATATATATATATATATATATATATATATGTATATATATACATACACACACACATATATTTATATATATATATATATTTATATATATATATATATATATATATATATATATATATATATATATATATATATATATATATATATATATATATATATGTATATATATATATATATATATATATATATATATATATATATATATATATATATATATATATATATATATATATATATATATATATATATATATATATATATATATATATATATATATATATATATATATATATAGTGGATGGCAAAATTATTAGTTACATTTGCAAAAATAATAATATTAACCATTATAAGTACTTTTGTGTATTAAAATAAATATTTTTCTTTAAAAAGTAAAACACTTATTAGCTTAAATAAATATTTTTCTTTAAAAAGTAAAACACATTAAAACACTATTACTAATTTTAAGCATTTATTTAATAATTTTCATTTACTCCACTAGATTATTTATTTACTAGTCGAGAAGGAAACATCGCAATAGCAGAGCTAATCAAGACGAGTTTCCTTCATACCAAAGTACTACTCATACGCTGAGTAGGCGGTGCCGGGATTTGAATCTTCAATCCTGCTGGTACAACCAATAATTATTCCAAACTTTTTAGCAGCGCTTTAACCAACTGAGCTATCCTGGCTCAAAAGCGCTTTAACCAACTGAGCTATCCCGGCTTCAAGAAAAATCATAATACAAAATGTTTTTTTAGTATTTGGTTGGGCTGCCTTTTGCATCAATTAGTGCTTGTATCCTTCTTGGCATACTTTAGATGCAATTCTTTACATTTGCTTTTAATTCCTGATCATTATGCCAGTCGTTATTTAGTGTCTCTATGATATTTTTTTGTTGGTTATAGTTTCGTGCCCAATTATCTGCTTTAAAAGAATCATGCATAAATAGTCAGGGTAACAACATCTGTTTTTACTGACTAATAACATCTGTCCAACAACATCCGAAATTTCATCAATGTATAATAACATCTGTGCAACAACATCCCAAATTTTATTGATGTATAATAACATCTGTGCAACAACATCCCAAATTTTATTGATGTATAATAACATCTGTCCAAAAACATCCAAAATTTCATTGATGTATAATAACATCCGTACTACTAATAGGGGGTCCATAATCGTCTTTTTTTAGATTTTTTATAGTTTAACCAATTTTTCCTAATAAGTTTTTCATGCTGATTCTGAAAATCATAATAATTTTTTTTCATTTTAATTATTTAGCCTTCTACTTCAATTTTAATAAAAGTGAATATATTGATAAAAAAAGGCATTGTTAAAAATAGATGAAATTATTATTATCATTAAATATAAGAAAAGTAGAAAACTAGAAATCTTTTTCTGTTTAATTTATCAATAATATATCTTATCATTTATAAGTAACAAAAAAAACTAGGCATTATATATGAAAATAATTCATACAATTTGTTATTTACTATTGAAAATGGAAAATAACTATAAAAGTCATATGTGATAGAGATTGCTGCGTGAACTTTCCGTATAGAACATCTAGGTTATGAGCGTGTTCTTTGGTAGACATAAGATGGAGGTTTGTATTTTTATATCAACAATCATGTATTTAAACAGAATAGTCCTCCACGACAATGACCTACATTGTATCCCTAAAATAAAGAACCTTATTTTTCGAACTTTTTTTTCATTTTAACATATCTTTATCTACTTCAATAATGTCTAGTTCACAGCTAAACGGGCTGCCTTGTAACTTTAATCAAGCTAAAACAGAACTCATCTTGCACACCTGATGTAAAGTTTGCTGCTCTTCCATTGTTATCCATTTGTTTTTGTAGCCGGTTTCAACTATATTCCATAGTTTCAACTATTTGGACAAATAACTGGACAATAATTCTCCAAAATATTTTTAAACTACGCGAACCTTCTTTTTTTATATGGTTTAAATAATTAAGTATACATCTACTGTTGAAATTAAATGGGTTTTTTCCAAAGCTTTCCAACTGCAACAACTTAATTAGAGAGTTAATACTAATCATATTCCATCATCAACCAAACACATAATACTTTTCTCTTTTTTAAAGTCCTGAGGCTAACTTTTGCCAAAATACTCTAGCAAGAATGATACAATCATTCAACCTCTTGAGGTATACTTATTAACTGCTTCTAGAATTTTTTTTAACTAGCTATTCACTGCGTTTTAGAGTAAAGCAGAAAATTTCAAAATTTGATCACCCAGTTTGTTTTTTATAAAGCCTTTTAGGTAGCGGTGTTCGTTTAGCCTGTTTATCTTTAGAATTGTTAAAACTTTAGAATTTAACTGAACTTCTACTGACTAGCACTTTAAAAGAAAATTTATTCTTGACTTCATTAAAGAAAAGTGAAATAAAAAATGAAATCTTGAATAGCCTTCTTGATAGCTTGAATAACAATTAAAAATAAATAAAAAAAAAAAAGGAAATTAAGATATTTTGAAGCAATCTGTCTTTTTGATTACTTAAAACGTTTTGTTTAGAAAGAGACTTCAGATAAAACTTTTTTTTTTTAAGCAACCTGTCGTTTTACTTATTTAAAACGTTTTTTTAGAAAAAGACTTCAGATAAAATTTTTTTTTTCTAAAACGCAGCGATTAAAAATCAAATTTATCCAATCAAAATTTGAATAGCATAAATTTGAAAGAAAAGTTGCATAACTTTATACGCAAAGAAACTTTTGCAAAGACTTTTAATTTTTCATATCTTTAAATTTTTAAAATAGAAGTAGAAGGTCAACCATAAAAAATTAGCAAAAACTGAATTGTTTTTTAAACTTTTCTTAAAAAATTAAGAATAACTGGTTAAACAAAAAGTATAGTATTTTGGACCCCCCCTACTACTACATCTGTAGATTTTTCGAATGTAACTACATTAGAAAAAAAAATTTATTTAATAATACATTATTTTAACAAGATGTAGTTACACATCTAATTTTTTTCGGATATAACTACATCCAGGAAAAAATAATTTAAAAATGCATTATTTTAACCAGATGTAATTAAACATCTAATTTTTTTTTTGATGTAACTACGTCCGCAAATTTATTTTATTTAATAATGCATAATTTTAGGCGGATGTAGTTACACATTGAAAAAAACTCTCGGATGTAGTTAGATCTTTCTAAAGATGTTATTAGACATCAA